CAAACTACCTAGGAGTAGCCTAAATTCATCTGACTCCTTCCATAATGGCACTGCAGCCTTTTGCCTCACTGCACTAGACATTTATTCTAGCAACTGGATTTACTTTTCCTTCCCATTATGTTTCTGTCAATGGTTATAGCAATTGAGTTACTGAATGCCTCACACACTACCATAGTGTGTCACATACTGCTATCTCCTCTCAAAAAATTCCTTTCACAGAGAAAGAGGAAAGACTGTAGGCTGATGCTCCTAAGACTTGAAATCCTTATCTTGTGTTTTATTGGGCAGAAGCAGTTGGTCAACAGAACACTCAAATATCCTACTAAAGACTCAGTCACTGAATCAGTGGGGACACTTAAATGGTGTACTAGAAACCGATGTAGCACATGGTCTAAACTAAATGACAATGCTTACTCATGTTGCAAAAAAAAAAAACATGGTCTGGGGCCAAAGGGTGATTAAACTTAAGTGATTAAACTTACGTGATTAAACTTACAATTATATTTAAGACTCACTGTGATGGTTAATTTTATGGTCAACTTGGTTGGGCCATGGGGTACCCAGATAGTTTATCAAACATAATTCTGGATGTTTCTGTGAGAGAGTTTTAGATGAGCTTAATACTTAAACTGTAGACTGTGTAAAGGAGATTGCCCTCCAAAAGGTGGGTGGGCCTCATCCAATTAAGTAAAGGTCAAATTAGAATAAAAGGCAGAATAAAAGAGAGAACTCACCAGCCTGGTGGCCTTCAACCTAGGACATTGGCTCTTCCTGGTTCTAAAGCAGCTTGCCAGCCTTTAGATTCAGACTGAAACATCAACTCTAGATTTTGTACTTGTCAGTCTCCCATGGCAGGTAAGCCAATTCCTTATAATAAACCTCTCTATATATAACCTATTGGTTCTGTCTCTGAAGAACACTGACTCGTACCATACACTTTAAAAATTTTGCTTCCCATACCCTTGGTTTTGAACTATCATCATGTAGATGTTTTAACACCTCAGCAAAGAATGCTGCCATATGAGACAATACAGTTTTCAGTGAATTAGAAGCTAAGATTGACACCTGAACATTTTGAGGCTTTTCACACCACTAGACAAACAAGCAAAAACAAAACAAAACAAAAACAAACAAACAAACAAAAAAGATATGGTGTCAACTGATGTAGTTGACTCTGATTCTCAAGTAGAAATAGGTTTGTGGCTGTACAATGGGAATAGAGACTACTAATAAGATCTCTCCCCTATCACTGGTTTGTCATGAAAGGCCAGGTTACATATAATAACTAATAACCCAAAATCTTACAGACATCACCTTACAGGGGCTTATTTATCCTCCACTCAATGGGGGTCATGAGTAAGGTGATGTGTGTGTGTCTCCCTCTTTTCTTTCTCCCTCTCTTTACTCCGTGATACAAGCTAACAAAAGAGCCAATATCTAGAATACTGCTGGTTGCTCTGGCAAAGGAAAAGAAAGCATGGAATATCTACTTTCTGCCCATAGTTTATTGTGAGAGACCCATATGGACATTCTAAATAGCAAGGGAAAAGGAAGTACATTAAAATCAATGCCTGGGAAGAAACCTGGAAATATTTGATAGCTAACACAAATACTGTCATATACCACCATGTCTTTCAGTAAGGGTCAATGAAAGACTAATTCAGTCCTATAGAAACAATACTACCAATGTCTCAGAACTATAAGGGAAAAACAGGTAACTGCACTGGGTAAAAACATATAGGCAGGAGAAATGTTTTAAGTTTCAACTACAACTTTCAACCAGTTACAAAACCAGGGACAGAGACTTTACATGTGTCCCATTCCTTTTATTATTAAAAGCATCATTCCATTAAATTCATATTAAACATTTTAACTTTCCTCTTACATTTTTGTATGTTAAGTGCAAATGTAGAGAAAGAGAGGAGAAAAAAGTCATCTCCACAGATGTTTCCAGCAAACCAGGATGGAGAGTGGGATATATGAGACTCTGCATTGTCTACATTTTAGGAGAATGTGTGTTTTCAGTTGTATATTTAGTAACAGCAATATACTGAATGGTATAATTTTGTTTTTCAATAAATATGTTCACAAAAGAAGGGATATTGGACAACCCAATGACTGGATTGTGCTGAACACCTACTGCTTATTCCCTCTGAGAATTCACCTGTCATCCTCAGGTTATAGGATCCTCATGTATCTTTGAGGGAATAAGCCATTTAGATAGAACCTTGACAGGGCTGTGAGTCAAGATGGCCCATCCTAAACAAGTCAAGGCTGTGCCTTGGGAAACAAGAGAAACCAATAAATATAATTCTCCATGGTATATGAATCTTGAGCAGAGATATAAGAATACCAAAAGCAACTGGAACCAATTCCTCTCAGCAATAATTCCCACGGACTTTGTCCTTTATACATGCTTCTCCATGCCCTCAAATTGTCCTGATCCCTATCTTTAACAAAACAGAGTTCTTTTATTTTTCAATTAATTCTAGGAGTAACTTCATTCTGTTGTTCATAGAAAAGCAGTCTAATTAAGGTCATGTCCAACTTTGTAACTGATCAAAGGCATGCAAATAAAAATTACACAAATATATTTTCACCTGTCACATTGGGCAAAAATAGAAATTACTGAAGATAGTCAATTTAAAGAACATGGTGGGAAATAAGCCTTATATACTACTTCTGGGATTATCATTCAATACAAGCTTTTTGTATAGAACCTTGGCAGAACCTTACACAATTAAAATGGAAAATATTCTCAACAAAGCAATTCTACCTATTATCAACCTATTCTATGAAAATATTTGAATATGCTTTCAAAAACATAAATAAACTGATGTTAACCTAACCATATTTGGTGATAATGTTAACATATTTGGTAATAAACATATTTGGTAATAATGTCAACTTAACATATTTGGTAATAAAAGCACAGACAATCTGAATGTTTATCAATAATGGGACAGTGAACAAAACTATGGAATACTATATACATCTCTTCAAAATAATGAAACTGATCAATATCTGTTCAACTTAAACAACATCCATCGTATGCTTTTGAGTAAAAAATAAGCAAGCTGCAGAGCAATAAAAGACCTATATTCAAGTTACATTAAAAAATCTATTCATCTATACAACATATATGTGTATGAATACATTATATATATGAATATATTATATGTAAATACATCACATATATACATTAGGTTTTATGTTCCCGTAAGAAGTTTTGGGAGGATACACACAATTTGAAGTGGTAATACGTGAGGAGTATTAGTGCTTGAAGTGGGGCTGTTAACATATTTTCTAAGTAATATTTATTGAGTGTAGATTTTCAGAAGTACACACATTATTTTTTATTTTTTCAATATATTAAAATAGAGTGCAGGATAATATGATGGCTAAAATTGAAAGAGTGAAAGGAAACATGTTGTACATGTTTAAAGTGGAATAGGAAAAAATGAAATGAGGAAACAAGGCTAAAATCATTATTATTGCAGTACATTGATATGGCGCTACAAACATGTAATTATTAACTAATTACTGTAAATAGTACTGATAATAAATAACATTAGTTGTGGATATATGTAGTAAGCCTAGTCTTATATGCTTCATAAGCATCATCCCATTTCACTTTATAATTATTCTATGAGGCAGGTACTCATTTTAGAGAAAAAGGCAATGAAGACACAGAGGTTTGTAATTAGCAGTCAGTGGGCATTGCATTTAATTATGAAATACGGGAAAATCCTGGACTTACTGATCTAGATAGAACTAAAGAGGCCCTGGAATGGCTAAATTTTTGAATACATCACTGCTTAATCTTGCAGAATAAGAGCTACTGCTTCAAAATTTAGAGAATATTGAAGAACGAGAAAAAGAGCCACCCTGACTAAGCTTCCTTGTTAATAGCAAGACTTTACTTTGCTTCGCTTTCTTTCTATTGGGACTTCCTGTATGTGGCTCAGGCAGCCAAAAATCTGATCATGATATTTTAGATCCTGGAGTATGGATCTTGACAAAGACACTGTTCTGAACTAAATGCTTATGATGATCCTGCCTTTGACAGCAAGGAGGTTCTACAGATCACTGCTCAGTTGGCATTGGACAACAGGTAGCAGGGAGTGGAAGAAAGAGATGAATATATTAAGGGTGCCTGTGCTAAATAGCTGTGTATTATTTACCTTTATTTCACATAAGACACAACGGTATACATTTTCTTCTGAGCATTTAAAACCATCCAATTTCAATATTTGGTTTCTGGTTTCCGAGGAAAACCTGGAAGACTTATTCCAATCACACTGATGTATTTTTATTGTTGTTGTTCTTGTTTTTTTCAAAAGAAGCTCATGTAAGCGTTATAAAGCCTCTTACCACCTCATCTGGTCTAAGGTTTACTCTCATGTTGGGAGAGAAAACAGGTCAGTGGAAGTTACTAGTAAACTAGGCCAAATTAATGATGAGTGACTTCAGCGTATCAAAAGCATATGGCTCTGTTGGAAAAAATAAATGTATTTTACTACCCCTTACCTATGAATAAAGTATCTTGGAAAAGAGTGATAGTCACTAGATTTTGCAAGTAGTAAAGGAAACAATCATGTTATGATTTCTATTCTTTGTGAGCTAGCTTCTTTATGGTAGATCTCCATTCGCTATGTAACAAGGAAAGGAAGAGGCAGTAGTTCTTCAGACAGATGGTCTGGATATTTAGGCAGCCAGCAAGCGAGTGTATGTGATTAGCGGTGATAGTAACAGTACTCCACGGTACTTAAAAGGGAAAAATATGTGCTGGAAACAGACTATTTTGAAAAATAGCATCTGCACTGCTTACTGTTATAGAGTTGATATTCAATGTTGTTGTTGTTCTTCTTTTCTTTTTTTTTTTTGTATACTAATCTGGCTGTGTATTCAAATAACACTGTCTCTAGGTACATCAGGCTGCTTGATGTATTAATTACTATTAAACGAGTTAACGTTAACAATATTTTCCTTGGACTTACCCTGGCATCGGTCCATTTCCAGAAAGACTGTAAACCTGACGAGGATTTAGTAGATACTGGAATTTTCTGTAAATTCTATAAAAATGAAAATATGGGAAAAAAAAGAAATTGAGTGACACTCCCCAATGTTTAAATAGTTATATAGATGGTTGTAACTAAATATATTTGAAAAATTTTACATTAATAATATTAGACATACAGTTTTCTATAAGAACTTAGGGTTCTTTGAAAAGAGGCTTAGCAGCCAATATACAAGTAATATAGTTTATAATAGAAAGAATGATATTTGCATTCTAAATATGCATATACATTTAGAATATTCTCCATCCTGCTTTTGAATATTATTTGGCTAATTAGAGTTCAAATATATTTTTTAAGAATATCAGAATAAAATTACTAACATACCTTCTCCTAATGGAGTCCTATGAAATTTACAGGTTATTGAGCCAAGCTAATCAATGTGAAAACTATCCCACATATAAAATGAGACTGGGCATGCTGTATGTATATGTAATCAAAGAATGTGACCTCATCTGCTTAATTATGCCACATTAAGAATCATCTTGATCAGTCAGCTCACACAATTGCTAAACTGTTTCAACAAGCACACTTTTTTTGTTTATTTTTTAAATGTTTATTTATTTTTGAGAGACAGAGGGTGAGTGGTGGAGGACCAGAGAGAGAGGGAGACACAAAATCTGAAACAGGCTCCAGGCTTCGAGCTGTCAGCACAGAGCCCAGTGTAGGGCTCAAACTCACAAACTGCAAGTTCATGAACTGAGCCAAAGTCAGACGCTCAACCTACTGAGCCACCCGGATGCCCCTCAACAGGCACATATTAAATAATTTTTTTCTAAAAGAAATCAATCATCGTACAACAAATGCAGTACAAATATTTCTAAGTAGATACACATCCCATATTGGCATTCTTAAATGAAATACGGAAATTAAAAGCATATATTTAGTTTTTTAAAGTTAGATTTCACATACATGGGAAAATTTTATCATATATTTTATAAACACATTCATACTATGTTTCCTGATAGAAACTCTTCAAATTCACTGTGTAATATCTGTTATATCACTCCATTCCCAAATCTGCAATAATCTCACATTCTAGATCTTGATTAATTACATGATCTAGTGTCTCAAGAAAGACCTTAAGATTCATTCTTGGTACTTCTGGTACTTCTTTTTCCCCAGCACCTGAACCCAATGAGAGAACAATTTGGCACCTGCTATCAGTAATGTCAATCAAACCTGGTTATTCTCTGTCACTACCTTAGCTCAGGATTGCAAGCTGTCTCACCAGCTCTATAAAGTTCTTGCTTATCCAGCCTTCTTACATAGTGCTGGTTAAGTACAGTCATGTTGTTTCCAGGATGAAACGTTTCTCCAAGTGTCAAGTTATTTATGATACAGAATATTTTATTACATTTAAAATAGGTTACGCCTTACCTTTCCCCTCATTTCCCTGAAACTTTAATCTCAGTGATTATCTCCTGGTTCCCTAAAAAACACCACACCCCTTCACAAATTGCTCTTTTTTCACCTGGCAAACATCTACTATATCACAAGCAACTCAAAAGCTACTTCCTGTCCAAAGAAACTTCTCAGTCTTCAGAGATAGCTATTTCTCCCTGAACTTCAACAGCATTTTTATTTTAGACATTTTTAGTTTGTCATTCATCTTGGGGTACTGCAGTTTATCTGTTTGTGCCTGCCTCCTTGCATGGCTATATCGTGGGTCTTTTATCCCCACTTCCTAGTAGAGTTTGGATTCACTAAGGTTTTGTTGTTTGAATGAATGAATGAATGAATGGTATGTGAACATTTTCACACCTGTTGACTGGTATGGAACACTTTGTGTAAATATATAATTTTGTAACCTTTTGCGAGTTATCTAACATATCAAAGTTAAAAACCAATTATTTTTAAAGGAAACCCGGAATGGAATATCATTATTTCTGAAAGATGATTCTTCTTCATTCACAAAAATTAGGAGCATTGCAGTATCATCCCTCCTGCCATTAAGTTTAATTTACTTCTGACTTTATCTATGTAGTTTTTTTCTTAATGGGATAAGGGGGAGTCAGATACTCACTTAAGGTCATCATGCATGATCCATATTCTCCTAAAATGAAAGGAATGCTTTCCCTTTGAAAATATACCTTTTCTTTCTCTTCATACTTCATTTATCTCTACTTTCCAACATGAATTTAATGCTTACCTAATTCCATATAAAGAGTTTTTTTTTTTTGCAAACATCCATAATATATAAAGCTGACAGACTGTACGTAGTAAAGGAGAAAATAATTTTAGTTAATTATTTAATTGTGATTTTGTATCTCTAAAAGTGAGGTAACTGTTCTCTTTAATAAAACCATTTTTAATTATTAAGCCACTAGTAATTTAAAATAATTTCTATCATGTTTAGCAGAGTAAAAAAATATACAACTACATGTTGATAAAGGAAACAAAACTTTCTAAGCAGAAATAATATTTTGTTGATTGGAAAAAGAATAGCACTCTTCTTTTCACTAAAAGAAAGCTGGAAAGTTAGATGGCAAGAAAAGAAATTATAAAATTCCATTTACCATGAAAACAATTCCACTTACCATGAGAATCACAATGCAAATTTCTGTTTTATTATCATAGTGTTTGTATGGATGCTTTCATCTCATTTTTTTGTTGAGATAAGTAAAGACTTCTAGAAATTATAGCAGACGCAACTGCATTTTTGTTTATGACATGCCTTTTTATAAGGACATAAGATTTACTCTTCAATGGGATTTTCAGATATTTATTAATTATTATGATTTAATCATTAATGTATTACAAAAATGAAACTTCTTCATTGTCTGCCAGAATGCTGAGACACCTGATAATGAAACTTATTATAATTCAGATTATAATTCAGATTGTTTTCCTTAAGGATATATGGCATCACGTACTACAAAAACTCACATGTAGAAAATCATTTTAATACAATTTATCTAGAAGCTGAATATAAATTCTGTTCCTCACTACTTAGTGATAATTTACCTGAAGTCACCTTGTTGACCACTTAGAGAACCAATTTTCATTCAACACTATTTATGGAGCCATGTTGTATGCAAAGCTCTTTGTTAAGGGCTAGGGGTGATAGGGTAGAGAGAACTCAGATACCCAAGATTGATAATAAAAATATTTATAAGAAGCCATTATTATATTAATTTGAACTATATAAGAATAAGGAGAGATCATATCGATATATTACACATTGACTCTAGAATTATTTATTTCACATTAAAATTTGCAAACCATAGTGAATAATGCTTTAAAATGTCTTTACACTGTAATTCTATGGAGTACTTTGGTGGCATGGTCCGTTAAGCGTTCGACTTCAGCTCAGGTCATGATCTCACGGTTCGTGGGTTCTAGCCCCGCATCAGGCTCTCTGCTGACAGCTCAGAGTCTGGAGCATGCTTCGGATTCTGTGTCTCCCTCTCTCTCTACCCTTCCCCCTCTCATACTCTGTCCTTCTCTCTCTCAAAAATGAATAAACATTAAAAAAAATAAAAATAGATAAAAGTAAATTAAGTATCTTTACACTCCAATTTTAGTTTATCTTCTACATACATATGACATAGAAAAGGAACCTGATTTTTAAAAACATACCTTTCTCCTTGTTTCCCACCACTTTTGGGGTTCACAAAAACTAGAAGTGGATGAGTACCAGGAACAGGAGTAATCTAGAAGAAATTTGGATAGATGGTCAAATTATTCGCATTATGTATGGAAAGGACCCTTGTAATTTCTATTTCATAAAATACCAATTAGCAATTTTAAGAATATGGCTCTTCCGTTCTGTAATTTGGGTGGAGAGATAGATCTGTTTAACAACTCAATTGAACCCTATGTTTTTACTATATCAAACAGGCATATCCACACCACAGAGACAGGTAGGGTCCAGCTAGGTATAGGGCAGAGAGGAAGGTAGCTATGAAGAAAGAATGGTGATTGAATAGCCATGAGATGAAAACAAAAGGTACAATTTGCAGGACAGTGAGTAAACCAGACAGAATGAAACAGAAGATAGTGGGAGGAAAACGATTAGAAGAAAATAAAGGGATTAAATTATAGACAGCCCTGACTTTATAGATGACAGCTCCTGTAGAGGTTTGTGGCATGTATGGAATCCATCTACCCAATCTCTTGCCAACTAGAATCTCAGTAAGATGGTTTGAGGTCTCCTTCAGCCTAACTGCTCCCCTGTACACAATTTTTCCTCAATGTTTTCTTTCCCTGCCTGGGGAGTAGAAGACCAGTGAATCAAGTCTGTTTGCTAACCAGGAATCCGCAGACTGACTGTGCTCCTACTATATACTGATACTGATTTCTTGGTTGAACAAGAAAATATTGCCTGTCCTAGTGCAGCTTATATTCTAGTCGAGACATAGACAATAAGCAAACAAATATGTAGTTAGCAGTAAAACATACCATGAAGAGAAATAAATCAAATAAAATGATAGCACTTTATTGGTGTGAAGGGGATAAAGCTGTTTTTTGATAGGATGGTAAGGAAGAATTCTTGCATTTTGCCTGACTTCAATGTTAATAGGTAGACTCTTAAATGCATGTGTTCCTATTCAACCTACCACTATAAAAATTCTGTCTAAATACAGTTTGACAAAAAATATTTAGTAACAAAATATGCAACTACTGGAGCCCTCTTGATATTAAACTGAAAAGTTCTTGATCAGTTTACTTTCTGAAAGTAGATTCAGGCTATCCTTTATTGCTGTTTTTTTTTTTTCTATCTCAGAAAGTATTCTAAGATATGTAATGAGACACTTAAAAAACAACCATGTTACCATATGATATCCTTTCTTCCTTTTTGTTCAAACAACAGAAATTAAAATATTCTTCTAATACACTTTCCTCCAATCTTAAGTGAACTGTAATTTTTCCAGTGATTATAGGCACTGGAAAAATGTTAAAATCTTCACATTAGTTACAGAAGGCTGAGTAAAATATTCTTAATTCTTCTACTCTTACTCAACTTGTCACTTTCATCTATTGTATCTGTCTCTGTTTTGCTTTCCTCTGTAAAGAGGACAAGGGTTCCTTGTTCCTGGTTTGGTTGTAATCTAGGTAGGAGATAAGACATATAAAGTGGATTTGTAGTAACTTTCCTGTAGCAAACGTGTTCAATCAATTAACATATAGACAGTGCCTCCTAGGTTGCAGTGTGTGCCCTTCTCCCCTCATTTAAAAGCTAGAATAAAGAAACTACACAAACACAACTTTATGTAAAGACTTATATTCAATTTCCTTTATTTTTTTATCCTATTATAGAATTAGAAAGAACTCCTGAAGTTTGCACATTCAGAAAAAGTAATGGTAACAGATGTGGATTTTTATTTTTGCACCTAATTTGAATTGTTACTCCTTATTTTTAAATAAGGGTGAGAATCTCAAGGTAAATAAAGGTTTTCAAGCACAACATTAAGTCTGAACCGAAACACTCATTAAGATGATCTTCTCCAAACTCAACATTCAGCTTACAGTTCTATTAAAATAAATTAGATTATATTAAATTCACACTGGGTCAAATATTTACAATGTATTTTTAAATATTTTTGAATGCCTTTCAGAAATACATGTATAATGGAACATTTAAAGGCATCATAACCATTTATCAAATAAAGGTTAGTAGCAAGCTATAGAACAACTGTGTTCTAAGGTGCACATTATTACCATCAAATAAATATCCCACTAGAATACAGTCTATAGGATCTCAAAATACAAAAAAAATGTATATGTTATTTTTAGAGGTGGGTAAATGGATAAATAGGTCATATGGATTAGAAAATAGAAGATAATTAAGATAAAGAACAAATTTAGAAGAATGGGGATGCTCTGTAAGCACAAAAGTCAAATATGCCAAATGGAAATACAGGAAGAATAAAATCACTTAGCAGTCTTTTTCCTCGTATATATTTGTATCACAAAGTAGGCTTATGAAATAAGACTAAATACAAATAAAATACTGAAAACTTGAGATATCTATTTATCAGTTACCTGGCACTGTGGAACAGGGCTTCTTTTTTTTTTTTTTTTAACATTTATTTATTTTTGAGACAGAGAGAGACAGAGCATGAATGGGGGAGGGTCAGAGAAAGAGGGAGACACAGAATCTGAAACAGGCTCCAGGCTCTGAGCTGTCAGCACAGAGCCCGACGCGGGGCTTGAACTCACGGACCGAGAGATCATGACCTGAGCCAAAGTCGGCAGCTTAACTACTGAGCCACCCAGGCGCCTCGGAACACAGCTTCTTTGATAATGATGTTAGATAAACTCCTGAGGTAACACAATCTACATTTAAGGGATAATATGTGATTAAACACCAGCACCACAAAGACACTGGTGTGAAGGGATCATTTAATGGTGTTACACTGGAAAGGTCAAGGTTTTAAGCAAATCTAGCATGTTTTTCAAGCCCCTATTCAAAAAGCTTTAACATCTGGCTACACTTTGTTACTATAAGAATACCAACCCACCAGAGTAAATTTGGGGGCCAGAAGACCAAAGATAGAATTCCTAAATTTGAGAGCACCAAAACTATAGTCCAGCATGATCATTTTCAGGTCCGACATGTTAAAAATAACAACTACTTTGTGCACTGATACTCCTGGAAGAAGAAGCAGCATCTTACTGTCAAAGACTGCCACTGTCATTTACTTCTACTTCTCTTCATCTTTATCGAAAGAGCCCTGGGCAAAATTTTGAAAGACTGGCCCTTCCCATCATACCTGTACCTTGGAAACTATTGCTGCTGTTTGCAGAATTTGAATATGTATTTCTTTTGAAGAGTTTTAGGAAGGTGTAACTTTTGGTGTCTTGCCATATAAGCATGCAAATAAATAGTCTAAGTAGAAAAAAATGTGTCTAGGTTTCGTCTATAATTGGAAGTTGCTATGGATTGAACTGTGTTTCCCCCAATTTTATGTTGAAGCCCTACCCCACAGTGTGGTGGTATTTGGAGAGAGAACCTTTGAAAATTTTTTTTTTCAACGTTTATTTTATTTTTGGGACAGAGAGAGACAGAGCATGAACGGGGGAGGGGCTGAGAGAGAGGGAGACACAGAATCGGAAACAGGCTCCAGGCTCCGAGCCATCAGCCCAGAGCCCGACGCGGGGCTCGAACTCACGGACCACGAGATCGTGACCTGGCTGAAGTCGGACGCTTAACGGACTGCGACACCCAGGCGCCCCTGAGAGAGAACCTTTGGGAGGCAAGGAAGGTTAGATGAGAGTGGGAGCTTCATGATGGGACTAGTACCCTTAAAAAAGGAAGATCTACCCCTGCCTCTGCACACACAAAGAGGTAACATGAGGACAAAGGGAGATGGCAGCCACCAATAAGCCAAGAAAAGAACCCTCAGAATGAAATATAACTTGTCACCCTGATCTTGAACTGTCCAGCCTTTAGAACTGTGATAAATCAATGTCTCTTAAGCCACCCATCTATGATACTTCATTACAGCAGCCCAAGGCGACTGATACAGAAGTGTTTTGTGGAAACTCAAGATATGCTCTTTAGAAAGGAAGCGTAACAGCTTCTAGTCATCTTCCTCTGGATGCCAGCATGAAATGTGATATTCCAAGGACCAGCAGCCATCTTTGCTAATGAGGTGACCTTGATGATGCCACAGATGGAGGACAGGAAAGATAGAACCAGCCCTGATAAAAATGTGGAACTGTCTTATTAGCCATACTTCTGGAGATCCTCCTTCTAGACTTTACTTACAGTAAAGAAAAATTGATGGTTAACTTCTCTAAACCACTGTTATGTTTTATTTGTTTTTGTTTTTGTTCTTTCTCCATTCTGTGCTGCAGAACCTAATTGTCACCGGTATGAAAGATCCACAAGGACACAGAATTGAATATAGATGGAACCAGGCATACAAACTTCATACTTCATCAAACTTGTTAATATTTCTAGACCCTAAGTGAAGAACAGAGACTTGATATCAAAATTCTTGAAGAGAATCTGTATCTTATTTTATTCTACATTACGTTATTCTCCTTATTGAGAATGGGGATACTCATTATTAGTTAATCCTTTTGTAACTTGAAGAGTATGAAACCAGGAAAAAAATACAGGTATTACTAGACGTGATATTTTAATTACTTAATCCGATCTATTTGATCCCACATTTTATTTTCCTGGGAGGTCAATATCAGGTAAGAACTAACTTATCAAATTCAGAATTCAGACTAGAGGAACTAATTTGTATTGAAATGTAAATCATATATACTTAAAATAATTTAAGCAGATTAAAAGAATACAAAGTTTTTCTTTGTTTCTGAAACTCAATACATCTGATTTTGATGAATAAAGTTTTATGGAAATATCTTACACTAATTTTGTATATTTTGAAGTGATATTTTTATTTTTATACTTTAAAATAATTCCAAATTTACAGAAAAATTAAAAGGACTATTCAAATAACATTTTTTCCTGAACCAATTGAGACTAAGTTGATAAGATGATATTTTATCACTCTTGTTTACTTTAGATTTGCCTTTACACAAGAACATGAACATAACACAACTGTCTGTCAAAAATGGGAAGTTAACATGATTCTGTACTAGCTGCTTTTGTTATAAAAGCCATTACTGGACAACTGGTAAAACCTGAAAGGAATCCAAGAATTAGATAGCACTAATATATCAATCTTTAGTT